CCCCCCTCCTTCCCCTGCCTCTGATCCTGATCCGTGCACCCCTGAGTCCATTTCCCGTCTGCTGCCGAGGCCAGTCCGGGACTGGTGGGACAGCACCCAACTCTGGGAAACTCAGTACCGGTCTTGTATATTTTGTTTTATTTCTCACATCATTAGTATTATTAGCAAAGCTGGTTTAATTTTCAGTTGGTAGGTCTCCCTCCCTTTTCCTCCTTTCTCCCTTCCCGTGGTGGGGGGGAGGGGGTCAGCAGAGACTGTTATTGCCACCCCGCTCTAGACGGGGACGTAGAACAGCATAGCAAGGCAGAAGTCTGGTCTAGAAACTTCACACGACTCTACGGTCCAACTACCGCTGGTGCAACTCGATCACCACGATCCAGGAGCTCGCTAATCGCAGCCAGGTACCGCACTGAGCACCCTGCAGAGCTGTTCGCTCCTGCCCTTTCAGGCACACGCTCGGCAGCAGGATTTGGTGCGTGGCAGCCTGTTCACCTGCACACGGCATTGACAGCGCCCTTGTTGCTGAAACACCTCCGCACCCAAGCACAGCTTTAAGACTGGCTTCTGGACATGTGCTAAAAATAAACAACGGCTGGCTGCTGTCAGGAAGAAGGTCGGTGGATCCTTTTACAGCTCTGGTCTCAGTGTCTTCAGTGTATTTCTTTTCCGACGGTGTTGTTACATTATCGGCTTATCAGAGCAGCACAGGGTACAGCCCTCTGCGCCGCACCAACGGGTGGACCGGCTCCCCATGGACGGTTGTCTCAAACTGAAAAAGAAACTCGGTCCCGCGGCTGTCAGGCTATTTGCCCCTCACGCCTGTCAGCTGACATCAGCTCTGAATGGAAACGGCCCATGCAAGTGTCCCCCACGGGAAGAGACGGGTTGCCAGTCAGCGCAGCCCACAGCGTCGGGCCACTGCCGCTCTCGTGAATTCCCCGCAGTGTGACCCAGGGACAGACCAGAGCTGGTATTGGCCCCACCCGCGCCTGCCACGCCAGACCCTCACATGATGCCACCGTCATGTCCTTCCCAGTGGGTGAGACCTGCTGGTTCTGCAGCACTGCACAGCCAGCCGATCCCTGGATCAGCCCAGACGTTCCTTACACATCCTTCCTCCCGCTGATACATTGAGTGAAAACCGCGGGGCCGTGTTTCTCTGCTGGAAGCAGCAGCAGGCAGGTTTGGTTTGGGAAGGACTGGGCTCTACCGGCACTCATCGCCACCAACCTTCAACTGAACTGCCCGGGAGTTTTGTTTTTGTGGCGTCTCAAAATGGGAATGTATTCAGGCCTCTACTGCTAATTCCCTGCTGGCCACTAGGTATCAAAATCGTTACGAGGGATATCAATATAATCTCCAACTTTATGATCATTAACAGAAAACCGAGGCATTTTTTCAAAAATCTAACTATACCAAGCATTGCACTTATGACCCATAACAGGACATTAAAAAGAACCCGCCAAACAAAGCCACGTTTTTAAAAAGCTGTGCCGACCGCCCTACTCGCATGTTCCCGGTAAAACAGACCTTCTGCCAGGAAGACAAGGGGAAGGGTAAAGAGCAAAGGGACTAGGGCAGCTTAAAATCAAAATCTGCTTAACAAAAGCAAAGCGAACTCTGTAATCTTGCCAGAACTGTGAGCAAGACATTTCCTTCAGGAGGTGTCTGGGCAGGTTGAGAGCAGGCAACTCGTTCCTTGATAAAAAGTGAGATTGTTCTCGCATTAACTGTAGTAAAAAGAAAATGAGGAAGATGACAAGACTTACACTGTAAGGAAAGAGT